TGTTTGCCCATTTGCTTTTTTACTTCAAAATAAGATATGTGCAATGTGCATAGGAATTTGTTCATAGATTTTTTTTAAACTATAGTCCAGCCCTCCAACGGTCTGAGGGACAGTGAACTGGCCCCCTGTTTAAAAAGTTTGAGGACCCCAGGCCTAGAACATACATACTTAAAAATATCAATAGTGGTATACGGTGATGTCAGAGAGCTAGACAGGGGTGGGCTATGAACATTTTTGCATATAATCTTTGGTTACATACATGTATGTATTTCTGTTGGGAATATTCATAAGAGTAAATGGTTGGGTCTTAGATACTGTCAAATAATTTTCCAAAGTGCTTTTTCCAGCTTCTCCATATTCTCACCAATATTTGGTATTGTCAAGTTTTGTTGTTTTTTTTTTTTCCTTTTTATCTTTTTGGTCATTTTGGTGAGTGTATTGTTGTCTCACACTGTTATTTCAATTTGCATTTTTCTGGTGCTTAACTAAGTTGAGAACTACTGATATGTTTATTGGCCATTTGGATATTCTTTTCTATAAAGTTTCTGTGGTGGAGACCCGTTTTTCTATTGGGTTATCTGTACTTTTTGTATTGATTTATAGAAGTTATGTTTATATTCAGGACAGAGCCTTTCATTGGTTAAATGTGTTATATACATCCTCCCACTGTGTGGCTTGCCCTTGTCTTCTTTGATGGTATCTTTAAATGAATGGACGTTCCTACTTTTAATGTAGCACAATTTATCAATCTTTTTCTCTATGATTAGTACTTTTGAGTTTTAGTTAAGTATTTCGATACCCTAAAGTACTAAAGATATTCTCCAATGTTATCTTCTTTTATCATTTGTTTGTAAAATCAACCTGGAAACTAGTGATTTTTTCATATAGAAATCCAATTAACCCACCACCATTTATTCAAAAAACTATCTTTTCCCTACTGATTTGCATTATCATCTTTGTTATAAATCAAATGTCCAGTAAGTCTGATTCTGGACTATTGCTTTTCATTGTTTCCTTTGTTGATTATTGCGCCAGTGACATTTTGTCTTCCTTTATAAAACACCTTACTATCTCGTGTGTCCTCTAACTTTGTCTTCTTCAAGATTGTCTTGTGTAATCCTGGCCCTCTACATTTTCATATAAATTTTAGAAATTACCTTATCAATCTTTATTTTTAAACACTTCATGGATCCTGAATGAGATTTTATTGTATCTATAAATGAATTTGAGGAGATCTGACATCTTAACAATATTGAGACTTTCAATCCATGAATAAGACATATTCTTCCATTTATTTAAATCTTCTTTATCTCAAAGTTTATAATTTTACAGCCTTTCTTCTTTTTAAATATAAATATTTAAGCTATAAATTTCCATTAGGCATGGAATTAATGTATCTCACAAGTTTTGCTATTTCACATTTTTCTCATTTTCATTTAGTTCAAAATATTTTCTCATTCCTACTGCAATTTATTCTATTATCCATTATTTAGAAATTATTGCTTAATTTTTAAATATTTGAAAATGTTTCCAGTTATCTTCCTACTATTGAATTCTAGCTTCATTTTACTGTGTTAAAAAAAAAACTGTGTGTGATTTCAAATCTTTAAAATTTGTTGAAACTTGCTTTATGACCCAGCATACGGTCAATTTTAAATGTCCATGTCCATTTCAAAAGATGGGTATTCTGAAGTTGTTAGGTGCAGTATTCAATATCTTAGTTAATGTTTTTATTAATAATTTTGTAGAAATAATCTATATCCTTACAGATTTTTTTCTACTTGTTCTATCAGTTGCTGAGAGGGGTGTGTTAAAATTCCCCACTATGATTTTAGATTTGTCTATTTCTCCTTATAATTCTGTCAGTTTGGTTTATGTACTTTGAGGCTATGTTATTAGGTATATATCAATTTAGATTTTTTTTTTATCTTCCTGGTGAATTGACCTTTTATTGTTATAAAATATCCTTCCAAAATACTTTTTACCTTAAAGTCTACTTGACAGACATTATTATAATAGCAGCTTTCTTCTAGTATTTGAATGGCATCTCTTTTTTCCATCTTTATACTTTCGACCATTGTTATCACATTTAATTTATGTCTCTTATAAGCAGCATACAGTTGTTTTGTTTCAAGCCAGTCTGAAAGTATTATCTTTTAATTAGAGTATTTACTCATTTATATTCAGTGTTATTATTTGAATTATTTGACTTAAATCTACCACATTATGACTTGGATTCTATTATCCCACCTGTTCTATACTTCTTTTTCTATTCTTGATATTCAGGATTATTTAGATATTTGTCAATTTTCTTCATATTAGCTTAATAATTACGCATTCTTTTATTATTCTTTTAATGCTTACTCTAAAAATTACATGTATCTTTGATTTATTAGAGTATATTATATTATAAAAACTAGCCACTACTTAAGCAGTTCAAGTATCCTATAATACTTGAACTCCATTTATCTCCTCCAGCCTTATCTGGTATTGTTATGTATTTTAGTTCTATTTATCTTAAATCCTGAATGACATTATTATTATTTTGCATAATCAATATCTATTTAGATTTTCCCACATATTTATCCTTTCAATTGTTCCTATTCTTTCCTGCTTCTCCGTGCTGTCAACTAGGATCGTCTTTATATTTCCTTTACAGCAGGGCCCTGGTGATCAGCTCTATTTATGTCTGCTTGAAAATATCTTAACTTGGGTAAAGATATTTTATCTTTACTTAGGTAAATTTCTTTTTGATGGATATTTTCACTGGGTATAGAATTCTAGGATAGAACTTTTATTTTCCTTCAGAAAGATAAAGATAACATTTCATTGACTTTTGGTTCTCATTGTTTCTTTGAAAAGGCAGCTATCAGTCATATTGTTGCTCCTTTGAAAGTAATACATGTATTTCTCTGGTTTCTTTTATAAGATTTCCTCATTGCCTCAAATGTTCAGTAAGTTTATTATCAGTTGTCTAGGTGTGGTTTTCTTTTATATATCTTTCTTGGAGTTTATAATACTTTTTTGAATCCCTGCCTTGATATATTTCATCAGTTTTAGAAAAATCTGTATTTAATTCCTGAAATACTATATTTCCCTTCCAATCTGAATGTAGGCCCTAATAATTGTCACAATCCTGATAGCTCATACATACACACCCCAGTTTCCTAGTTGTTCTCAAAGGAGGGTTATTCTGAAACAACCTAAAAAGCCATTGCACAAAGCAATCTTTTAAAAACTGAATCATATTAGATCACTCTCTTACCAAAAAAAAAAAAAAAAATCTAATGACATCCCATCATACCTAAAATAAAATGCACAAATGTTACCCTGTTTACAATATCATCTGACCTCTGTCTATATCTCTGACTTTAACTTGCATTACTCCTGCCATTTTCCACAATGTTATAACTGAGCTGGTCTTTTTCTATACCTCTAATATGCCAAAGTTGATTCTCATCCTAGAATCTTTGCACTGTTCCCTTTGCCCCAAAGTCTCCAACTAATTAACAAAGTTAGTTCCTTCTTTTTCCATTTTAAGCTCAAATTTCCCCTCTACCACAAACCTTCCTCTAATAAACCTAAAGTGCCCTCAAATTGTCTACATAATATCACTCTTATTTTAACTCTGTACATATCATTTATCAATATCTAATTGTTTGCTCCATTTATTTGTTAGCTTATTGTCTCCATAAGAGTAGACAGGTACCTCAGCTATCTTGTTCACTACTATATCTCCAAAGCATGAAATAGTGCCTAACCCTGTAGCAGATGTACAATATTTATTAAATAAATAAAGAATGAATGAATGAATGAACCTAGAGATCAGGGAAAAGGTCATGCCTGGAGGCACCAATTTGGAAGTCACCAGATAGATGGTATATAAAGTCAAGGGATCCGATGAGATAGCCTCAGAAAAGTATGATGATCAAAACTCTACTGAAATTTTTTTGTGTGTCAAATCATCTATGATTTCTAAATTGCTCAATACAGTGGTCACTTCTCCATAATCATCATCATCTTTCCTAATCTCTTGATATGTGAAATAGAATTAACCATTTCTTTCTTAATGGAATCTTTTTGCTGCTTCTGTGGATCTCATGATACGACATTCTCCTGATAATCCTCTTACCTATTGGTTACCTTTTCTCAGTATTCTTTGTTAACCTCTCATGTTTTGCTCAATCTCAAAAGGTTGGAAATTCCTATGGCTGTGTCCTTGATCTTTTTTAAAAAAAATATCTACATACTTTGGAGATTAAAAATTGAAAGAAGTTGGTTAAAAAGAAAGTGGGTGGTAAATATTTTGACAAAGAAAGCAGAGAAAACTCTTCTAAGACTGCTGTGAAAGGAAGCAGCTCATTAGCTTAGTAGGATGTTGGGAGACATGTTGATGGAGGGGGGGACACTGGTTCAAGGGAAGGTTTTTAAGATAGTAGATACTCCAGTATATTTTTGTGATGATAAAAATAAATTACTAGGGAAGGCAATAGTGTGGAAGTATCCTGCCATGTGGCAAATTGGATTTCAGCGAATTGCCTAAATTGACCTTTTATAAAATTAGTTTTTGGAGAAATGATTCTCAGTAAATTTATACGAGTAAATGTTCCTGCTTCTGACCAGTGGGCTTTTCTAAATTCCTGCTATGAAAAATGGCAAGATCAAGAGGGGTGATCTTACCTGGAGGACACTGAGGTCTGTGAGATGACCTAAATGCTGCTGTGAAAGGGCTCAAAGGCAAGAAATGGATAATTTTAGTAATTCAGTTAAAATCTGTGATGATTTTTCACTATGTAGATGATAGAAGTATTTTATGGCCACTTTAAAATTTTAAAGATGGATTACTTAGGGAATGTTGTAGGTTTAAAATACAGAAAATGGTTATAATAATTAATATGACCTAGAAAAAGAAAGGAAGTACAAGGAAAGTAAATGTTAATGACTTCTTTCTAGGTTCCCATATATTGCCAAAACATGTCCACTGTGTGGGAATGCATCAGCACCATCATTGATATTTTCCACCAGTATTCAACAAAAGATAAGGACACTGAAACATTGAGCAAAAAAGAGCTGAAGGAACTTGTGGAAACACAATTTAAGCCAATCCTGAAGGTAAGAGATTTTTGACAGAACCAAAGGTATTTATGTTTTTAATCCATAATCTAAGTGAGGATTATTGTCAACCTTTTTTGAATTATTTCTTTTAGAATAGAAACAGAGTAAGTCTATACACATTACATACACACAAGCAGCCTCTATAAACAGAAAAATAATATAAATATTTAATTATAAAACATGAATGCCAATTAGTTCTTTATTATATTCTTCCTCACATCAAATTACTAAGTGGGTACATTAAAAGACAACTAAATCATGGATAATATAAAATTCTGACTTGTAAAATAACAGAAAGAAGCACTTACCTTATCACATCTTTTTGCAATACCCTATTAGACTTTAAATTCTTCTTTCTGTGTAACACATATACTTATCAACTGAGTCCAGAAGATCTAAAAAAGAAATTTGATTCCACTTTTTGATACCCAAAGTTAACATTTGCTAAATTGACTTTGAATAAATAGCTGACAGTGTGACTCATCTAATGTATACTCCCTCTGTGATTTCCCTATGAACAGAATCCAGATGACCCAGATATTGCTGATGTCTTCATGCATATCCTGGATCTAGACCACAACAAGAAAATAGACTTCACAGAGTTCTTTGTGATGGTATTCAAGTTGGCTCAAGCATATTACCAGTCTGACAAGAGACAGAAAATCCACACATCAGGGCGAAAGCAGACAAAGCACAGTCATTCTAAAAAAGGAGAAGAGGATGTGGAAGACGATGAAGAGAAAGATGAAAGAAAAAGAACATCCAGGACCACAAGAAGAACTGATGAAGAAAGCAACAAAGTAAGATCTAAAAGCCCAAGAGGTAGAGGGAAAACTGCACATAAGCCGCATACTGAAGATGAAGGAAGAAAACGGGATTCATCTACCCATGGACACGGAGATGAGGGAAAGAAAAACCATCATCAGTTAAATGGAAAAAAGAAAAACAGGTCAAATTCTAATGAAAAAAAAGAGAGACGGCACAAGATACATGTTATTCCTTCAAAGAGAGGAGAGGAAGACGAAGATGAATTTAATTATGAAAATACAGGACGAATGACTACAGAATGGAAAGACATAGGTTACGGTTATTCATATTACACAAGAGAACAAGGTGCATCCCTTACAAATGAGAGTGACTTGAAAGAAAATGGAAGAAGAAACAGCTCAAGGTCTGATCATCAACAAACATCCAGTCACAGAGACAGATCAAAACAACCACAGTCTGAGAACAGGGGGGCATCGGGGACAGGGACAAACAGCAGACACCAGGGATCCAGTGTCAGTCAGGACAGTGAGAGTGAAGGACACTCGGAGGACTCAGAGAGACAGTCTGGGTCTGGTTCCAGAACCCATGCCGGATCTGCCCATGGACAGTCAAGAGATGACTCTAGACACTCTGGGTCCCAGCAACGGGACAGAGGCAGTCGCGGACACTCTGAGTCTGCCCACGGACACTCAGAATCCGGTGCCAGTGGAAGACAACGGGCTAGCCATGGACAGTCTGTAGACAGCTCCAGACCATCGGGCTCTCGTCACGGAGAGCCTTCCTCTCACGGACAGGCTGAGTCTTCCCACGGGCAGTCAAGATCAGGTGCAAGAGGAAGACAAGAGTCCCACCACGAGCAGTCAACGGACAGCGCCAGACGCTCAGGGGCTGGACGTGGACAATCGTCCCCCGCATCCCGGGCAAACAGACACCAGGGATCCGGCGTCAGTGAGGCCAGTGAGAGTGAAGGACAATCAGAAGAGTCAGACAGTCAGTCAGTGTCAGCCCAGGGAAGGTCTCGGCACAGTCACCAGAACCAACAAGACTCCGCACATGGCCCCTCAGAGGAAACGTATAGATACTCAAGGTCTCTCCTGTACTACAAACCACCTCATGAGGACTCCGAGTCCTCCCATGGACAGCACGGATCCGACACTAGAGGAAGACAAGGATCCCGCCACGAACAGGCTCCAGACAGCTCTAGACACTCAGCGTCTCATGAGGGTCAGGCAAGCGCTCATGGGCATTCAGGGTCCGGCAGAGGAGGAAGGCAGGGGTCCCGTCATGAGCAGTCAGGAGACAGTTCTGAACACTCAGGGTCCCACCACCAACAGGCAGCCTCGCACGGAGGGTCTGGTTCTTCCCATGGTCAGGCAGGATCCAGGAGTGCAAGCAGACCAAGATCCGGCCAGGAACACGCAGGAGACAGTGCTAGGCGGTCAGGGTCTCGCCACCAAGACACATCCCCTCACGCAGGCAGCTCTAGGCACTCACAGTCTGGGCAGGGCCAAACATCTGGGTCCAAGCCAAGCAGACACCAGGGATCCAGTGTCAGTCAGGACAGTGAGAGTGAAGGACACTCGGAGGACTCAGAGAGACAGTCTGGGTCTGGTTCCAGAACCCATGCCGGATCTGCCCATGGACAGTCAAGAGATGACTCTAGACACTCTGGGTCCCAGCAACGGGACAGAGGCAGTCGCGGACACTCTGAGTCTGCCCTTGAGTACTCTCACCACCCTTCCAGTACCACATATGATCACTCCAATTCTCTTTCTCAAGCAACTGGTTATAGATCAAAGACACAATCACTTTACAGTCATCGTAATTCTCGGCCTGATGATTTTCACTCTCAGAGTATGGAAAGGCCAACAAGTGCATCAGGCTTAGGTTGGAGACATGGCAGCTATGGTAGTGCAGATTATGAATATGGGCTTTCAGGGTTTGGAAAGTCTAAGGACAGACATTTTCATTCCAATTCCAGTCCTGTGGATTATAAGGATCAGTCTGAAGTCAGAAAAGCATCTGGATATGGAGAAAATTATATGAAATATAATATGATAGGTAGTAATAGACAGCCAGGAGCATATGACTGTTCAAATGATACATCAAAACAGCTGGAATTTGGTCAGTCACAAACATACTATTACTATGAGTGAGAATCCAATGGAAAAGCCATTAATTATTTCAGAGTTGAGGGAAGAAGTAAGAAGAGCACTTTCATTCTAGACATTTGACATAATACTTCTGGGAGGTTATCTTTTTCTGTCATTCTGTTTGAAATATGCTATACTATTTCATTACATTGGTGGTAGTTTCTTTTTATCCTTTAAGGAATTTTGAATTTTATATTTGGAAAATGTTAAATGGAGAAATCCATGCCATAGAAAGCTAAATTTGAAAAAACTTTTTAGTATTTCAGGAGATTGGGAATCAAGTAAGGATTTTTGGTTTGGAGAGTTTAAATTTTAGACTTGTTTTAGATTTATAAGTTAATCTTTGAAACATATCAAAGGAGCCAAAAATATAAAATCACTCTTATGGAGGCTAAAGATTGTTTATTAATATTATAGGTGAGCACATCTGTCTGTATTATCCTTCTATTCGAACTCTGTATTAACCTGTATTCAATAAAATCAACTTGGACAGAGGGAATTCAAGAAAATAAACTGTATAACAATTAAAAATAAACAATTAATCATTTAATATTGTTTGTGTATTCTATTCTTATTTTTCATCATCTCATAAACTTACTTCCCCATGGCCAGAGTTATATCTTTTCCCTGAATCTCTGGAAAGACATATTACTTAGTAGATATATACCATGAAAAAGAAATAAGTAATTAATAATAAAAGATAAAATTTAATCAAAGCTTATATTTTTCTCCAACCTAAGCACTGTCCCACAGTCACCTTCATGAAGAATAAATCCTTTGCTCAATCATGAGTATCACCATCATTATTATGAAAACATCCACCCAAGTGGCTATTATCCATGTTGAACCAAGATCAGGAAAGAGGAATTACTCTGTAGGTCCTTCTGCCAAAGACACTAGGAGATGCCTTTCAATGGAGACTAATGGGAGCATGGAAGTTGTGCTGAAATATCCTGACAGAAAGAAAGCAATTTAAAAAGAAACACCCTCCTGCCTTTGAAGGAAAATATATGTACCTTTATGATTTATGCAAGTAGATGAAGAGGGATAAAAAGAATAATCAAAATGTGAGCAAGGTCCTAGCACTAGAAGGAATATCCTTGTATGATAATCATACCCAAATTTTCCTTACCATAATAGCAGACTAGAAGTGATACATAGGCCAGTGTTCATTTGTTGTAGATGAGTCTATTATACAATTAAGCCATACCAAAGTAGCAATTACATTTCAAGTCTCCTAACTCTGAGTTTAGTGGTTTTATAAAAGCACTTACAAAAATTCAAGTTGCTTTTCTTAAACTTTTATTTGAATAAATCAAGATAAAGTGGAATTGGTTCTCAAAGTCTAAATGATCTCTAATGCAGGAAGGGACTGAATGAATAGCAATAAACAAGCTCATTTTTCTAACTAGCCTCAAACAATATCATGTCTATATTTGCTCTCCACAGGTCACTAGAAGGCTGTACTTCCCTCCTACCAGTGTACTGCTTTTCTGTTTAAAGTGCTATCCCAAATGCCCCTACAAAGCTGCAAACTCCATAAGGTGCCAAAACTGTAGGCCTCATTGAGCTGCCACAGACAGCTAAGGAGAATGCCTCTATCCATTTCTATGACACACTTTGTCACCTTGCCCCCAGTCTCATAACCAGCTTAATCAGCTTCCTCCTATAGTCCCAGTATAAAGGAGTCAGGCCTAACTAATAGGCTGAAGAATATGAAAAATATGATGAGGAAACAGTGTAGACCTAGCCTAACTAAGGTAGAGATATTGATGGAAGAACACTGACAAACATTACAACTGAGGTAGCCAGATGTGTGTACTCTACCACAGCTAAACTCTCAAAGTCTTCTGAAGAACCCATAAACAACTAAAACTTTTTTCATATCTCTGCCTACTCAAAGATAGAATTACCGGACACTCCTCTTTGTTAGCTTACAGAAAATCAGTTTACACCAAAAAAAGGTATAAACAAGATGCACTGGGAACATCAATTTTTCTCTGTTCTCTCTCCTTTCTTTATAAAATTTATTTTTGAACTTGCTCTTCAACTCAGTCAACCAACTCTTTCACATGTAGATCAACAATTTTCATACAAAATAACCAACCATTTCTAAGTTTTCTCTTGACTGGTAAAATCTTAAGAAATAGACTCTATCTTCCTATCTCTCCCTTCCCCACACAAAAACCATCTCCAATATGTATCAATCCTTAACAACCTTATCAGGTGGGGAAAGCAATACACAGCAGTGAAAGAGAAAGAAGAGAGATACTGGCACAAGCTTACCATTCACATTCATACTTTGACTATCTGTTTGCAGTCTCAGGTGAAGGGGCATCTTTAAGGGCAGCCCACAGCAGTTTGCATTGTTGGCCTGAAAACTGCTAATGGTGCACAATAAGATAAGCAAAGAAACCGATGGTAAAAATTTAGAAATGTTTTATAACAATTTGGCATTGGCACTATATCCAAGGGTATAACATATTTTAGAAAATTTTACAAAAGTATCAGTCCCTCAAAGATTATTATAAGTATAAACCTTTACCTTTCGCCACAGATAGTATGAGAAACACTATTCTATGGTTCTCACCACAAATGTTTGAAGTTAGATTTTATCCAGTGACAAACTACTGAAGACTTATAAGCAGGGCAATGCCTTAATCAAATATCTACATTAAATGGTTTGGAATGGTCAAGAAGACAAGAGGTAGGAAAGCTTGACTGTAAGAAACCACTGTTCCATGGGAAAAACAAAATGAGATCTGTACCAGCTCAGTCAGTAGCAGTAGGCATTTTGAACAAGGATATTAAGAGAATTTGGTCACTCATTGGATCTAGAGGGTAAAAAAGAGGAAGGAATCTAGGATTGTTTCTAGTATTCTATCGTGGGTAACTAGATGAAGTATGAGGCCATTCAGTGAGGTAAGGAATAAGATTTAAAAAGGAAAAATTATAAGATTAGTTTTGAACATCATGAGTTTGAAAGTCCCAAGAAAGACTCAGATGGAGCAGCCCTGTGAGCAGATGGATAAAATATCTACATTTCAAAATAGAGATCGGGGCTTGAGTCATCAGTACAGGTAGTTTACTGAACTGGTTAAAAGTAGAGGCTCTGGACCTAAATGCTATCTAAGTATAATCTCAGCTCTGTCAACAATTTATTTTGTACCTTGGGAAACTTGCTGAAGATCTCTATGCTTCCGTTTCCTCATCTAAAAATTAAGGAAAGATTGAGTTGATACATGAAAAGTGTTTAGAATGGTATATAATACGTGTGCTCAATTTATTGAATGCACATAATAAGCACTCAACAAATGTTTGCCATTATGTATGAATCATTAGGCATGATTGAAATGAGAAGGTGGAGAGTGAAAGTCAAGGCTAGAAAGTTGAGAAAACCCACCATTAAAAGTTCTGCCCATGGCTGGTTGAAAGGTAGTGAGTTATCTTACTTGATTGTTCAGTCATTACAGATTGAACTTCTTATTCTACTACTTTCCCCCATTCTTACTACTGCACTTGACTAGTTTAAAAATTAAAAAAAAAATTTAAAAAAAACAAGTTCTGCCCATAGTCACATAACAACCTGCTTCTGTCTTCCAAGTCCATGCTCTTTTCACTAAAAGAGAGAAGGTGTTGTCAAAGTTCAAGTATCCCAGAATGGCCAAGTAAAGTGAGGAATAAAATATGTTCATTGATTTGGTAATTTGACCTTTGTGATTATGGGAAGAGCCATTTCTATAAAGAGGTGGTAATGTAAACAAATTGCTGGAAAACTTAAGGATGAATGGTTTTTAAGGAACTAGATACAGCAAAGATAGACTCTTCCTGTAAAGAAGCCCAAAACTCTTTTCTAACCAAATAGATTTTTCTCATCCCTAAGTGCCCTGGGGATTCTGAGAGTGAGGGTGGGGAAGACACTTTGAAGGAGATAATTTTTGAGAATTAAGCAGGGACCAGATCATCTTGGAAATCACACTAAGAAGTCTGGATTTTTTCCCCCTAGCTTTATTGAGGTATGACAGACAAATAGAAATGGTATAAGTTTAGAGTACATAATGTGATGTTTTGATAGATTACGAAATGGCTACCAAAATCAAGCTAATTAACATACCCATCACCTCACATAGTTAGCGTGTGTGTGTCTGTGTGTGTGTGTTAAGAATACTTGAGATCTATTCTCTTAGAAAATTTTAATTACATAACTCATAATTATTAACTATAGTCCCCAGGCTGTACATCTGATCTCTAGTATTTATTCTTCTTATAACTGAAGGTTTTTGCCCTTTGATCAATAACTGTTCTTTTCCCCTGCCCTGTAGCCCCAGTTGATGACAATTCTACTCTCTGCTTTCATGAATTTGATGGTTTTTTAGATTCCACATATAAGTCACAGAATGTAATATTTGTCTTTGTGTGGCTTATTTCAATTAGCATTATGTCCTCTACGTTTATCTATGTTTTTGCAAATGGCAGGATTGCCTTCTATTTAAGATTGAACTGTATTCCACTGTGTATATATGTATTGTACGTCTATATATCATATTTTTAAATTTATTTTTAATATATATATTAAAAATATAAAACCTGGTGTTTTGATTTACAGAGTGAAAACACAAAATCTAAGCAGCTCAAGTACAGAACTCAGGAAAATACTACTGCAGGCTTGAATACTCTCAGCTTAAAGTCAGTAGTTCAGGA